CGTGTATCCACAAAATTGCGTTATCACGATCCAATAAAATTTTGCTTGCCCACGAACACTGACCCCTGCGAATTAAAATGATTCCACAGTACTTCTCAAATACCACAGTGACTGTGCTAACTTCATTCAAACTTACAACAAAGCATTCTAGGATTAAGTGGATCTCAGTTTGTTAAATAAAAGGTCAAGCTCTCTTCAAAGAGAAGATAATCAAGACTAGGCAAAAATAGGGGGGGGGGGGTAAATTTTTCTTAAAGGGGGGATAATTAGGAAGAATGAAAATTAAATGAAATCGTTTAAAAATCTTGTTTTGAAGAACCGCTGAGCAAGGGAAAATAAAACTTAAATCAACACTTTTTGTCTCAGTGTAAATCCAAGTTATTTCAAATTACGGTCTTAAGGAATGTATGAGGTTTAAATGGTGGAGGGGGTGGGGGTGGAAAAACAACTTCAAATTTGTTGCATGCACATAGGCTAGGCGTCTATGACAACCCTCTTTTAAGAAACATTTGAATAAATGAAGGGAGACTTCTTATCTTTGGAATATGGATCTGATCTTCATTGAAAGTAAAAATATTAAAATATTCCACAGAACGAACAATTAATCAACTATGTTTTTCAAATATTTATATAATTAATAAAATGAAATATCACTCCATTTTGTACAATTTTTAACATCCAGTGATTTAAATACATTCGATATGATTTTTGGAGCTTGCCGGAAAAGCCCGAGAAGATGCAATTAGGGTTAAAAAAAATCTTTAAGAATCTTATTTTCAAGAACAAGAAGATTATAAGAATATTTATAGTCAATCACCCTCATATAGTGCAGATTCAGTTTGCTAAAATCATGGAGCCGATAAGTAATCTGGCATGATCATATTTAGGATAAGGTCATTTCAACTTTTTGAGAATAGCAAAAATATTCAAATAACAGCAGGAACAGTTAGATTCTGGTGAGACGTGTGGCCCAAGGACCTTTTATTTAAAAAAATCATGAAGAAAGATATAGCTTTTGTGAGAAATTCAAAAAAAATCTCAAACATAAATACATAAAAAATGCACACAATAACAGATTTTCATAAAAAGCAAAATCGGAGATTTAATACATAGATTTCCCCAAATTGTTTTGTTCCATATTTTAAATGTATCATATTGTTTGTTTCACTTTAATTTAAATTTGTTTATTTACACAACCTATTTTAAAGTCTACATTATTCTTTTAGTCTTTCGAAAACCTTAAATCCCAATCACATTTCCCAAAATGACAAATGGCCGATTTTTTTTTACGCAAAAATATGATTTTTCGGGAGACAGTAAAGCAGTTCATTCGGCGTTGTCTTGTCCAATTTTGATCTCCATTTTTTGTCTACCAACCAATTTTGTGTCTGTCGGGCCAAGTTATATTTTTTTCTGCGACGGTGGCTGATTCCTTCAGTTGTAGCAATTGTTAAATATTCCGTCAACTGACCTTCGATCATCGTCCGACCATCTGCAGACAGTCTGTAAAGTCGGTCGTAGGTCGATAGACATTTCGGGATTGGGTTTTCATAAATGTCCGCTGACGATGGAAATCGTAACTGCTGCTCGGCGAACGTTGATCCGGTAACGATTGGCCTACTTAGAGATTTTTTTAACTTTTAGAGGCATCTGTCTTCCTAGGAATTAAATGCAACTACTCTGCGTCGTCCGATACTAGTATCGTCCGATTATGTTTTTCGGCCGACGATACTAGAATAATTTGGTCTCCCGACCATCGGCTTAAATGTGACCTAGATATGAATCGGGGTTACTGATGCATAAAATTCTATTTTTAGATATGAACAAACGTGTTTATCCTATTTCTGTTTAGAATGAATGCTCTGTAATAAGTATTAATAGAATAAATCTATCCTGATCTTCCTGTAATTTAAATCCTCCAACCAAACATTATTGGATACATTTCCATAGTAACAGTATTCTGTTTACTTATTATCTATTTTCATTAGGAGTAATTTTTAATGCTTTTCTGTTGTGATTATTTGAGAGTTGCATCCCCGAAATCTGTGACGAGTGCCAAATATTTAAAAAAAAAAAAGCGGTTATAGAGAATGAATCACGTACTGCCAACATGCTTGCTATGTGCTAGGAATCGTTGGTATGGGATAAATGAGTACAAAAAATACTTTCGTAAAACAAACATTACTATTTCAATTTTTTTCGAACACATTTTTTATGACCTGATTTAAATAAATCTTACAAGTCTACATGATATGTGTCAACATTCACTTTCTTTGCCTCGTTGCTATGGGGAAGTGTTGCTGTTGCTATGGAAATAAGCCATTGTTCAATATTCAATAATTTGCTATAACATTTTGTATTCTCTCCGCACTCTCAAAATATACATATATCCATACATTGATTAAATATTTATTTCCATGAAATGCAATATGATCCCAAAGTCAAATCTGTTTTACAGGAGGCATAGGGTATATTGGTTGCTATGTACTAGGAATCGTTGCCATGGGTTGATTAAGTACCAAAAAAAACCCAACTTTTTAGGACCAACATTTCATTGTCATTTTTGCTCAACCACATTTTTCTGATTTAATTTGAATAAGTCTTAATAAGATTACATGAATACACGTCAAAAATTAACTTTATTTGCCCCGTTGCTAGGGAGAACTTGGTGTTGCTATGGAGATGAATAATTATACAATATTCAATAAAGTTTAATTCTACTATTTTAAAATTTGTTTCTCGTTTCGTAGATAACAATTCATTTGATTTTTCCTTACATTTTTTACATTGTTTCTCTTTTTATCTACCAAAACGCCCTCATATTTGTTGCTAGGCAACAGATCGATTTTCAAAAAAGGACCATGGATTTGACTTCATATTCTAAAAGAGAAATTTCTCTGCTTTTATCTGAAATGCACAAAACAACTATATTAATCTGGCTTCTTTTTTTAATTTGGCCTTGAATATTGCCAAAATTAAGAAAAATGCTGAATCAGCAAATTGCAAAACATGTGTATCTTCCAATGTCTAGCAAAGAACTAACTTAAAACCTGATTTTTTTTAAATGCATTGTTAAAACACTTCAAATGCCTATCTTTACTATACCAGTAAGGGAGATTAACTCTCATGGTATTTACATTTTATTTTAAGCCTTAAAGATAGGTGATTTTTTGTTCATAAACATGGAAAAATTTGATGGTTGCTAAGGAAATTTTTTTGACCAAGTTCCATGGTAACCATGACTCAAAACATTTTTTCATTTTACAGACATTGTTCATAGTTCAAGACAAAGCTATGAGTGGAAAATCATCAAAATCTGAGAACCCTCATATATCACCCTTTGTTTGATTTTTATATGGACTGGTTCTTAAAATCTGGTGCCTGATTTCAATGGAAAACATCGTCTACCCCCCTTCTAAAAAGAGTTGGAATTAAGAGTAATTAACTATTTGATACTGGTATTAAAATTATTAATCAATTACTGTTGAACTCTTCTTTGCATTCAAAAAACATTTTATGGCCCAATTGCCATTGGTATTGAATTAAATCGGTGTAAAATGTAGGCGGGAATCGAAAGTTAGCGTGCGTAGTTCTTTTTAAATATCTTAGGACTTGCAGAAGAACGCATATCTTAAACTACTTTTCACAAAAAAAAAACAAAAAAAAAAAAAAAAAAAAAAAAAAAAAAAAATAAATAAATAAATAAAGAAAACCAGATTAACCATTTATCATATTTGAACATTCAACAACTGTAAAATCACACTTTTGTGGGGTCAAATTTTCGTCGTTTGACAAAACTAATGTTGTTTATTGGGATTTGATTTTGTCGTTGAAGAAGTGTTGAGTTGTTATATATTTAAAGAACTATATACAGTATACATATTTTTGCCCCCGGTACTAAGGTCAAATTTTGGAAGTATCTTCAAATATGCTAAATTGAATATATTGTCTGAAAATCTGAATTAACAAAAAATATTATAGTTTCGAAGTAGGATATTAGCAAATTTTTGTTTCTATGACGTCACTAACTATTTAGATTTTTGTGTTATTTTTCAGAAAGAGGAAAAAATGGACAAAATTTATGCTTTGAAGTCTGCAATTATCCGCCTGTTTTAGAATATATTTATATATTTCTCCGTCAAAGTTTGATTTTTGGAGCAAATATTGGTCATTACAAAATGTAGTCCTTTTGATATTTCGTGGGGAACATCAATTCTTGGGTCTCTTTATACAACAAAAACAACGAAAATTAAACCTATAATGAATAGTAGTTTCAAAGTTTTCACAGTACTAATTTGACTAAACACACCACATAATTATAAAAGTAATGCATTTTTATCAAATTTTTTTTTTTTTTTTTTTTTTTTTTTTTTTTTTTTTTTTTTTTTTTTTTTGCAGATCTATCATAATTAACTTTAATAAGTGCAGACAAGAAATCCATTTCAAAAAAAAATAATTATGTTTGGTTATCAATACAGAAAAATCGCTCTGCTCCTTTTGAGGGTTGTATGGAAAAATATCGAGTTGCACTTTTATTTGACCTCATACCATGAAATAGAAATGATTGAAATATTGGGTCAGAAGTGTGCTCCTACAAAGAAACACTAAACATTATTCATTTCACTTTTAAATTAGCAAATGAAAACTATCGATTTTGAATTAGATCGGTTATTTATTATTTTATTTGTTTTTTAAGTTTTGAAAATGTATGTTTTCCAAATAATAAGCTGAGGATGTACAGTTTCTAAATGTTACAACATGGTCCTACAGTGTATTCATTGTCTACAATAATTAGACTAATCGTGCGTTTATAACAAAAACGCATAATTTATCTTTCGAGACCTTGGGCAATTAAATCAACGTAAAAAGAAAACCAAAAACAACAAAAAGGAATTCCCAAAAGGTAAATTAATGATTTCATTATACTAATTAATTCATGACGCTTACATTACAATTGACAAGTTTACCTTTCGTCTTTCATTGTTGTGCATTGGAAAAATAAACAGTTCAGCGCTGATCTTGCTGCATATCAAATATATAAGGTAAAAATTACGAAAACTTATCACACTACGAAACTAATACTAAAGGTTGAAAACAACGTTTAATATATATAATATAAAAATCGTAAATTAACAATTAAATAAATAAACTGTGAAATTATGACTTGTAATTAAGTTATTTTCGTGATTTTTGTTTTGATATTTTATTTTTGCTGTACTTACCAGTCTTCGTTGGAAAAAAAATCTTCGTAACTTCGATAATCTTTGTAACTTGGATAATATCAACGGTGTAAAAAAAAATCTTTATATTTATATATCTTTTTTTTTTTTTTGCTAAAGCTGTTTATTCCTAAAATAAGCTTTATTTCAAAACCTTTCTCCTTTTAGGCTCTAAAGTTCATATCCAGAATTAACTTGTAAGGATGGAAAGAAAATTTACAGCGGCGGCAGCATTAATTTATACAATAATTACATTTTTATTATGGCTTGCTGCTATAGCAACACCAGGCTGGTTCATTTTGTCAGTGGTAAAGTATAAATCACCCAAAATGGAAGAGGTAAGATATAGGTTTTTTTCGTCCATTATGTAGCGTTCATATATATATATATATATATATATATATATATATATATATATATATATATATATATATATATATATATATATATATATATATATATATATATATACATACATACTTAACTTTTGAAATATTTGATTAAGACAATTTGTACAAGAAATGATTATATTAAAACAGTAAGGACTTACATTTATAAATAAGATATATTTTCCAGATATCTGTCGAGTTAAGCATCTTTTACGTTCGGGTCTGTGACAACAGCAAGTGTAAACATCTCAATTATGCGGATTTACCAGAGGATTCAACGACTACAACAGAGCATTATCGTAAGATAGTTATCTATTCTCTGTCGTTAAGAGAGAAAGTATTGGTATCTAGATAACTGAACATTAAGTCATACTGTAAGCACATTGACATTTAAGCTGGGTAGGGCGAGAGTACAAGGGAAAATCCAAAACTTAAAAATAGAATACTGCTCTGAAAATCTTACAAGTTATTTCAGAATACAAACTCTACATCGTTGCAAGCCACGGGGTTTTGTGACCAATATGCATTGTATTTCCACACACTGTCTACTACAAAATTCTCTCGTTCTCATAAATATTGATGATCCACATTCATTCAGTTGAATAATAATCATGTTATCATAACCACGAGCCTTACATCATCTTCGATTCGTTTATCTTGTCAAAACACGTGACACTATTCAGCGTATTTCCACAACGTCTGCATTCGGAACCCCATTTTTAATGTTAAGCTTTATAAGTATTTTAAAACTCGACACTGTTCTTCAGGATGTTATTATTATCCATGAATCTTTAACGCATAGCAAACATGATTTCATTATGGGTCTCGCCATGGTAACATACCCAAAAGTGCCACAAATTTCGTTGGTCACGATAAATCTGACGTCACTTGCTAAATATTCGGTTATTCATTCGCGAGAACGAGAACATTTTGTAGTAGACAGCCATGGGTCTGTGGAAATAGAATCGACACAAAACCTTTTGGTTGCAACGATGCAAAATCTTTGGTGTTGATATTTACTTCACTGTAAATTATGATAAAGTTTTCACATATATTTATAGGATCTTTGCAAAAGGGTTTAGAATTTTCGAATCCTACATTGCACTGTACCATTTTACCTCTATTACAGCCTCGTTCCCGGAGACTCAGTTTGAGTGTATGACTGCACTAGTTATCTGCTTTATTTGCCTTTTATTTCTGCTGAATCCTTCGTTTTCCTCTAAAGTTAAAGCTGTTGGAGTTATGATGTTCATTGCAGGTAAGGCAAGAGTTTATATTCCCCTTGCAAAGACGTTAAAGGGTTATAGAAAAGCAATTGTTTGAGAAAAGGTGACCTAATGATTTACAATCAGATCGATGTGCTCTTTTCGAGTGGATGTCCCGCTTTGAGATGCCTTTGTAATACTTAAAAACAAATACATTGTAAATCACATATGAACATAAATATAGAGAGAGAACTTATTAATCAGTATGTTGGCATTCAATATGGGCGTATGACTGCCACGCTTACTGCATTGTTAACAGATTTGCTTGATATATAAATTTAAAAAAAATGTATCAATATCTTTAACTCAATGAATCAATATTTAGAATAATTGTCATAAACATAGTTTTTTTAAAATGCCTAATTAGTTAAAAACACTTTTTGTTATTTATTATAGCCCTGTTTGAATTGACTCTGGTGATCAGAATTACCGTCGCTAACGTTTTAGCTGAAAAAACAGTTCATTCTTTAAGGACAACACAGAAAGACTTGGACAATTTCGATACAAAAATCAGACTTAAGACTCCTTATTCGGTCATTCTTGCGGGCATTGGTCTGATTTTCAGCATCCTGTCCATGACTTTCAGTGCAGTTTTGTACTCAAAAGTCCCTCGAGAAAATCCAGCTGATCAGATTCTGGAAGTGTTGCCATCACAATCTCCTAAGAATTTCAAAGAGCTTGAGGAGGAGCATTAATGATAATTTTTGCAATATAATCTGTAACAATTTCTGTATATCTGGGTGTCTCATAAAAGGGTTTTTTGTAGTCTGTTATCATATCAAATTGCGTATAAGATAGCATCTCTTTTGTTTTATTAGATAATAATATTAATGTAAAGGTTGAATTTAATTGATTTATATTGTATTTTGTCAAATAAGCAGTATTTCAGCCATATTTTGGAGCTGACTCCAAAAAATTTGAGCTTCAGTTTTATTGTTTTTTTTTTTTTTTTTTTTTTTTTTTTTTTTTTTTTGTTATATTTTTTTTTTTTTTTCTTTCAAAGAAAATTAAAATAATATCAATCTGAAGGTTTAGTTGATTTTTTTTTTTTTTTTTTTTTTTTTTTTTGCCAAATCGGCAGTATTTCAGGCATATTTCGGAGGTTTATTCTGAATTTAGCTAGAGAGAGAGAGAGAGAGAGATTGAGAGAGAGAGAGAGATTTTTGTTTCAAGGAAAATTAAAATAATATCAATCTGAAGATTTAAATTGATTGGTTTTTGCAAAATCAGCAATATTTCAGTGATATTATAGAGGTTGTGTGTGTGTGTGTGTGTTCTTTTTTTATACGTTTTGTTACTCTTTGTTTGTAGTCAAGGGTATTTTGTTTGTACTTGTCGTCAAATAAAGTTTTATTAAAGGAAAACTTCCCGGGGCAATATCATTCATCTCTTCACAACGCATATAAATCTGTAAAATTAAATAAAGTGTGTTCATTTGTTGAATTTAAAATACATGCACTTATCAAAGATGGTATCATGATGATTAATTTCTATTTACATTAAATGTAAAATTGACATATTTTTAATCATGCATAATGAAGTCGAATAGATAACAAATATAAAATTATTGACAAAATAACAAATTCTAAAGGATTAAATTTACACATGCATTGATAAGACTTCAGAATTTAAACGACATAAACTGGATAGCAAAACAAGAGGTACATTTTCCCTCGAGGTCACTTGAGTATCATGTGAGTATTATAATTTTCATTATCGTATTCTTAAAGAATAATTGAAATATGATAAATATATTTTCAATATATTATCAACATAATCCCATTCTGGCACCTATATTCTTGATGCATAAATTTTACAATCTCGTAAAGGGGCAAAGACATAGTTTGCTACACTCCTTCATACAGCTTGCCTGCAAAATGAAAATTTCGAAGGAAAATTGCATAATAAATTCTCATTTTATGACCAAATTAACATTATCTTTGGATTTGTATCATGGACCAAGGGAACATTTATTTCATAATTTTGGCAAATGATCAGCTGTTCATCATAAATAATTTCCTGATAAAGGAAAATGAATACAAATAAAAAAAAATGATTTTCAAAAATAGAAAGAAATTTTTCATAGGTGATATTTAATCCCATACTAAGGTCTAAACTCTAGCTTCAGGGACATGAACGCATATTTTGAATGATTTTTAACATAGGCACTCCCAGCTAATTTTTAAATAGAACATAACAAGGCAAGGAAATTGTCTAACATTTCTTTGCCAATCTTTGCAATGCAAATGAGGTCTCCTCAACCGACACGTTAAGGTTTATTGGGGTATAGACAATAGATGATGTCAAATACCATAACCCTTAAAAGTAAACCTTTCTTTATATTTGAAATAAAAACAGTGAATAAATACATGTAGATGAAAATGGGCATGTGGAGACCATATATCATGAACATCATAAATAACGTCCGCATAGGAGGAATCAACAGGAAAAAAGCATGTATAAAATATTTAATTTTTCACAATTTACCAAACTCAAAGAAACGTTGATTTAAACGTTGTAGAAATGGTTTTAGAAAAAAAAAATTCGATTGATATATTAAAAAAATCATTATAATTTGTTTTCATATTTTTTTTAAGAAAAGTGTTTTACTGACTTGTCTACTAATGGGTGTGTACATTCTATCTTCCTCTGTACGACTCAAATACAATGTATGTCTAAGAAGTTTTTTTTTTTTTTTTTTTTTTTTTTTTTTTTAATATTTTTAATGAAATACGATTGGATCAACGAAAGTATAAAAATGCCAAAAAGATGACATTGGTGGATGTTTTAAGCAATCTCATAGGTTGGGTGAACACAATATCTAGATCGACGAAATATGAAACAAGTAAACAGGATGTGTTTAAAGCTATTAAATCGACCACTTTTAACCGAAAAATGCACATGTTTTGCAATATTTTTGTGGTTATAAAGCTCCTTCAATCGAATTTGTTTTAGGATTTATCAAAGATTATAAAGCTTTCAATTCAATAACAATGATGTAAAATTTGTAAATGATTTGTGAATATACATATGTATGAGTAATATTTCCATTTGATATAAAAAAAGTGTTCATGCATAAATTAGAAAACTTTAAATAAAATAGTCTGAAATCCATAGTAAAAATGCTTTGATTTACTATAGTAAAAACTTTAATTTACTATAGTAAAAACATTGATACTATAGTACACTATAGTTAATTAAAGTATTTTTCTGTTAGGGTTGGCACAGGAGTTGTTTGTGTCTGAGAAGCCTATCATGTCATTGTTGTTTATATATTGTTAGTACTCATATATGACTAATGGTATCCACGGCTAGAGGTGTTACAACTTTAAATCAATAATATTCCCTCACGATTCACATCTTGAAAGTTTGCGTTTTTAATGTTTCAGCAAGATAGCAAAGTTCTCTTTTAAACTTATTGAAAGTATATATTTTATAAAGTTTTCCTGCGGAGGGCTAAGTCTTAATCAACAATTTGGTTTTTATTATGGCGGTACTTTGAATACCACGTATCAATTCTTTTACACATGATAAATGAATAGTTGTACTAGTAATTGGAATAATTTGACAAAGATATTTTGAATGTGTCTATGCATTCTTACTTCCATACGTTTCCAATATTTCAAAGAAATTGATAATTATTTTAATATTTCTATATCATAACCTTACAAAGGAGAGAATCGACTTGATTATGAAAAAAGATACCAGAAAGATGTTATATAGGTCAAGCATGATTTTTTTTGGGGTTGAACAGTTGAGTGAACCTCTATACCGATCATAGATAATACAAGTAACAGGATGAGTTTTACAGTTACCTTACAGTAAACTTAGTTAAATGATTTTTTGGTAATTCTTTTTAGTAACTATCTTTTACTAAATAATATTTAAAATTTACCAAGCTCGATTCAAGTTAGATGTCTCAATAGCCCCCAACACCTATGTCTAATATAAAATAATGCAATCGCAACCTATACTTTTATTAGAAGTCATTTTAATACATGAAAGTATATAAATGAGGGAGTTAGCAAAATTCCAGTTTGCCATATGAAGCAATTTTCCAGTTTTTTTTTTTTTTGGCTTCGCCTCGGGAAATAGCCAAGACCTCGGGGAACTGGAATATTGCCAAATTCCTCAATGATGCATTTTTTAGCTCTCGAAGAAGGGATAAGCTCACTTGTGTAATGTACAGCAAAACAGAGATTATTCTATTCACAGCGTTTTCTAGGGAAATGGCCATGGATTAGTTCACTTGACTAACGCACGACAAAACGGGGATAAGTGAGTTGACAGCAATTTCTAGGGAATTATTATTAATATCTAACGATCAAATCTAATATAGGGAAAATTTAGTAGAGGTTTAATAAATATTTTAAGAATGTTACTGCAATTTTAAACCCATGTTAATATTGATTTAATTTGGTTATTCCATGTAAATCTGCATTTCTAAAACTTTAATCTCAAGGGATACATGTCCCATCTAACATTAAAACTTAAACGAACAAAAAAGGTTTTTTTTTTCTAAATTATAAAACTGGAAACTGTGAAATCAGAAAAGTATATTTATCAAAATACTTAAGTTTACAACCTTGAAAAGTTATAAATGTTATCTTCCAACAAGCTTTTGGAACCTCAATGGATACTAACTGTGCTCCTTCATTAGTCGACTTCTATTACTATGCAGCAGATATTATTCAAAAACTTTTTACATGAGAAGACGAAAACACTTGCTGTCACCAACTTGACATTCAGATAAATCGACGACGTTTTATCAATTAACAAAAGTTATTTCCATTCATATGTCGACTTGCCTTATCCCAGTGAAATTGAAATGAAAGACACTACATATGTTTCATATTTAATTATATGGATGATAAGGGCCAACTAACAACTAAAGTTTATGACAAACGAGATGACCCACCCTTCCATCGTCAATTTTCCTTGTTTATGTAGTAATATTCCGCTATCATCTGCATATGCTGTTTACGTCTCTCAGCTTATTCGATACAAGAGAGCATCCTCTGAATACTATCAATTTTTAAAACGAAGCAGGCTACTGACAGAAAAAGATGATGTTATAGGGATTAAATAACTTCGTTTAAAGTTAGCATTTCGTACATTCTATGGTCATTATAATGACCTTGTTAAAAATATAACCTATCATTGGGTTCTATTTCTAATCAATATATAGGGCTCATGGCGGTTGTGTCCGGAAAACAGGAGATGCTTACTCCTCCTAGGCATTTGATCTCTTCTTTGGAATTACTAGCTCTCCTTGTTTTATGCCCTGGCCTGTTCACAAATTTGTATTGTTTATAGATTTTAGTTCGATCACTATTCAATATCTTCAATTTTTTTTTTTATTATTTGTAGCCTCATTTATTTAATAATATGGACTTCTTTTTCTGGAAATTATTCCAAACAATTTTTTTTGTTTCTATTTGCATTCAGGTATTGTAACGAGTAAAACGCGGCACCTTTAATGGCACTTTCATTCTTTAAAAGAAATGAACATTAATGTTTCAACATTTATAAAAATTCATTTTATGCATTGCATCATATGCATTTATTTGGAAAAATGAAAGGTGTCTTCTTTTTTCTGCCTGGTTAACCATACTGAACTTTATTTCTGAATATTCTCTAAAAGTACAATTCATGCTTTTAAAGAAACATCAAATACACAAGAATCTGCACTAGATATTTAAATTAAGGGAGTTTTTCCTGACGTAAAATCCAGCTATCTCTAAAATCAAAGGTGTGCATGATTATTTTGATATAGAGACCCTGGTAAACTGTGCCTGTTCCAGACTTATTTGGCGTCGGGTTTTAATGATCAACCTGCAGCATAACGTCCGGGTTTATTTACGTGATATTCTTTCTTAGGTACGTACAATGTATATATTCCATTATGATACTGGTCAGGAAATGCTATATTAATATAATTATCACTCTTCTTTAAACGATACTATTATTATTTATAAATGTTTTGCTAAAAGATATAAAATAAGACATTTGTCTAATATTTCTTATGTAACCGTTAATTGCTTTTTAAAGTTGATTTTTAGTTGTACGATTTAGTGTGTCAAATATTTTAAGCCTAAACAATGTTTGAACGAGAGGTCAACATTAACAAAGTAAAGAAAAGTAAACTTAGCGTTGTAGCAACCGCTAATGATAAAACACCGCTTTATGATAGAAATATCATTAAAAGTAAACTTAGCGTTGTAGCAACCGCTAATGATAAAACGCCGCTTTATGATAGAAATATCATTAACCGTTGCAATGCAACGCTTAATGTTATAAATTATTGCATTAATACTTGACATTATCAACCGCTTAATGATATTATTCTCTCATTAAGCGGCGATTTAGAATTAGCGGTTGAGAATGTCAACTATTAATGCAATAATTTATGGCAGTAAGCGTTGCAGTTGCAACGTTTAATGATATTTCTATCATTATGCGGCGTTTTATCATTAGCGGTTGCTACATAAAGTACATAAATTACAGACCCTTTAGCTGTAAAGTTATTTGTTCTTCTAATCGCATGATGTTCGCAATCATATTCAATTTCAGTTTGTCGGGATGCATGAGAAAAGACCAGCAGTCTTAGCTTTGGTGTCGGTATGTGCTACGTTTTGCCTTTGGCTTACGGCCATGGTTACACCCGGATGGTTTATTTTAAAATGGGAAAGTACAAAAGCACCGTCAGTTCACAAGGTAAGATAGATATTGTATTGAACTGCTAGAAGCTTACATGTATGTCACTTGCAATTTACTCATGAAGTTATAGGTTACGAAACATGACTCAGAAGAATGTGACCATTATGATGTTTCGTCAAAGAGTATCACAATTTTTTTACTATATATATATATATATATATATATATATATATATATAGAGAGAGAGAGAGAGAGAGAGAGAGAGAGAGAGAGGACTCCAAAGTGCGATGGGACTCCAAAGTCCGATGGTCTGCGCCAAACCCTGATGGTTTGACACAACAAAGTCCGATGGTGCCAAAATAATTAACGTTTGTTACGTCATAGTACTACTGCACCGAATTGCGATGCCGCACCATGCCAAGATCTTAAATAAGTATAAATAAATATCATTATGCGAAAGCTAACCCTAATCTCTTGGATAGGTGCGAAATAACCCTAATCGCTCGAAAAGTGTGTAACGACTATAACCTAGATATCTTTGGTGGATGCGAGACTAACCATAAACAGTCGAATAGAGTGCGAGGACTAACCCTAAGTCTCTTGGGTTGGTGCGTAGCTATCCAATAATTCCTATAATGTGCAAGGACTAACCCTGATCAGTCAAGTAGTGTGCGAGAATTAACCCTAATATCTCTGATGAGTGCAATCAATAAGCATAATCAGTAAAATTCTAATACTGAATTGATGGCTTTTGATTCAAAAGTTTTGATTGTAGGACAACGGCGTCAAGGATTGACGTCGGAATATTGTGACATCATAAACGTTGATTGTTTCTCCGCACCATCGGACTTTGGCGTGTCAGACCATCGCACTTTAGCGCAGTGCGTCTCATAGGAAACGAGCCATTGGACTTTGGCTTGACCATCGAACTTTGGCGTCCGTACTGACATCAAACCATCGGGGTTTGGCGCAGACCATCGGACTTTGGCGAGACCATCGGACTTCGGCGTCACCATCGGACTTTGGAGTCTTACATATATATTTATATATATAACAAAGTTCTATCCAACGAATAGGAATTAACATGCCTTTCTTTTTTATAGTATAACGCATATGGACACTCTCTGTTGAACAGTAACCCTTTGGTTCACACTGAAAAGGTAAACCTCATCAGCAAAGACTTTTATTCATTAACAAAACTTTTGAATGCTTATTATGACATGTTGATACGGTATACATGTATGTGACTTCTTCCGTCCTCAGTACATATTTTTGATTGACAACTCATTTATTTAATCTAATAAATGATAATGTTGTTTTGTAAGTTCGCGGACTACTTTCCTAACTCTTTTTTTTTTTTACTTAACGTCAATTTATGTCCAAATTTGGTAGAAATGTTTCAACAAAAAGTTCAAATGAAGTGCATAAATAAATTTTAAGATATCTTGATTTATTTCAGATTTATCTAAAGTTAAAGATGCGAAAAACGGATCGCGGCGCGGGTCAAAATCTCGTAATTTACAATCAATACACTAAATAATGTCTGTAGTCATATTTTCCGTACAATGGCGCAAAAACAGAAAAATTCTAGACGTTCAAATTAAGAACTGTTACATCAGTTCACATTCCAAATTATGACTTAACATTTTGCTTCTTTGAAAAGAAATCAATTGCAATCCTCATTGAAAAAGGCAAAAAAAAAAAAAAAAAAAAAAAAAAAAAAAAAAAAAAAAAAGATGACTCGTAGAACGTCACCGAGCAGCAGTTAACGATTCAATGTTGTGTTGTCCCACCCTCGTACTTACATGTATAATACAAAATGACAAGGATTACATAATCATTTTAAACATGTACACACAATTAACAAGTACAGTTTAAGCAAAAATTCATATGTGCGGCATAAAAATTGCCAATACTGTTTGTTAAGTGATCGGAATCTATATTGCAATTAATATCTATCTTTTGCTTACTAACAATAAAGATTGTTTCAGATCGCACGACTAATTTCTCAGATAAATTCAAGAAAATTCGACAAAAATGGTTTTAGGTGGAGGTTTGGCAAAAAACAAGCTTGACTAACAAATGAATATTGAAAATGAAGAATTAGGACATGATAAAAAATAACACCATCATAAGAAATGAACAGATTACAGGAATGGGAATTGAACGAAGAAGTTAGAGCTGTTCTTCTTGCAATGTCAGATGCTTTACATAATTTAATCTGATGTTGTAATTCTAGATTATGTGCTTGAATAACTGCTTTATATTTTCTCTACAATCGCTCTGTTTCTTAAAAACTTAAGGAATTATTCTTTCATTGTTGCTACCTAGTAATTAATACTTGTAAAAAAAAAAAAAAAAAAAAAAAAAAAAAAAAAAAAGGGAGAGAGAGAGAGAATCGAGCATTTCAATCCAACACTTCCTGCTTCAGTATTTTCCATTAATTACAATTTTTTTAACGATATGACTTTTTCTCATATAAAAGAAAATAGTTTTTTTTTTTTGGAAAAACATGTATAGTTTGCAAAATAATTTACGAACTCTTTTCAGACTACCGATTCTATAGAGATGAGTATCTTTTACGTCACTGTGTGTGAGTCTCAAAGTTGTGTTCAAGTGGACTATGACAAACTCCCCAAGAAATCAAGAAACACGGCAAATAGTCTACGTAAGTCAGCAATTCATTTAATTTGAAACTGGAAAGTTAAAATTACTTTCGCTATTGAATATTCTTTGTCTAAATACTGACTAGATAATCATGTAATGGTGGTATTTTTTTTCCCCTCAAAACAAGAATCTTTCATTCCACCAAATATGCAGTAATTTATTTCACTCGAATATATCAAACGTCTGTTTTGCTAATGTTTTCAAAAGGATCTTTTTAGTAAGGGTGACTACTTTATTTTATTGGTTTTTTTAGCTGAACTGATGGAAATTAAGATTGAGAGCATTTCTGCCTTGGGTCTTTGCGTGGTTGGCTTCTTTTTCCTGCTCTTAAACTTTGGAAATTCCTCCAGAGTTTTAACCGGGGGGATCATTGTGGTTTTGGCCGGTAAGACTATTGAATTTAAAGCATAATAAAAATGAACTGCTTAATTTGTCCCAGAATGGTGAATTTAGTGGTTGCTTCTTAATTATGTTTAATTATTAACGGACATGTTAATGTACTGAATAGATTTTAATAGCATAGATATCAGTCATTCAGCATTCGATATTGAATGGATAATACTAGAAGTGAAATTGGTTGAAGATTCGCCATTATTAGGCCAAATTAAAAGGCTTTATGTCACAGCTTAGCTAGGAACCATTCACAATTTTCCATAGTAATACATGAATATATTTTGGAAAAGCAAGTACCCGTGCTTTATTGAAGTTGTTTTTATATTAAGTTTTTTGATTATCTTTTTTGAAGCTCTTGTTGAGTCAATTCTGGTTCTCCGAATGACAATAGCGAACATAAGAGCAAGCAACGCTTTAGATGCCGTTGAATCAGTCTTGGATTCTGAAAGTATTTCAATGGAAGTGGATTTCCCTTACTCCCTTATCCTTGCCGGTATTGGCATACTTTTCAGTGCCATTGTGATGTGGTTCTGTAGAGCTTTGTACGCAAGATTACGCCAACAAACCACAGACGGTCGAGTGCTGAATTTGTTTCCGGTCAACACTCCCAACAACTTTACAATTCTGCAAGAAAGTTACTAACTCAAGATACATGTATGCATCATCTGTATACTGACACATATCATGTATATATACTAAGAATATCTTATGCCTATGTATATATGACCAGGGATCTAATTTGATACAATAATTGACAAATCAAGTTGAAATCAGATTATAATGTACATCTTTTCATAATTTTGCAGAAGACAAAAAAAAATGCATGAAAGAAAGAAAAAAGAATTAAAGTTACGCAAAGTTTCCACATCACATTCCTTTCATTTATCTAACCGAGCTTTATTTTTTCTTTATAACAATATATTTTAAACAAATGAAATATTTAACTTTTTACAAATACAAAGTCGCAGCATTTTTATTCACTTTTCTAACACTGAAAATTCATTTACTTTCAAACTGAAAAAGAACGATCCCTCAAAATTTTAATATCTTTTATAATGGAAAGTGTATGTGTTCTTTTTAATCTCTATCTATTAACCTTTCTTTCTTAATCATTTACTTAGATTGTGATATTCACAACAATTTGAATTTTTATTGTATTGTATTGTGAAACTGTATATCGAATTACTTTAGCCAACAGTGGTGTGTTAAAAAAACGTTTTTGCTGACAGATTTTGTATCAAGTAAATCATAATTAAAAAAAACCGCTTTCTTCTTTTTACTATTTAAACTCGTAAGATATCTGCATTAGATGTAAAGAATGCAAAAAAGGATTGATTGATTGATTGATTGATTGTATGTATGTTGGTTTACGTCCCATTCAAGAATTTTTCACTCATATAGAGACGTCGCTATATACCGGTAAGGGCTTCAAATTTAGACCCTCGTATACTCACCACTCAAGGGCATTAAGCAGTGAGAGTTCTTTTCCACGCCAATGCCTTCCGTAACACGGGACCTCGGCTTATAACCCAGCAGGCACACAACGTTGTTTAAACGTTGAATATTAGTTGAAAATGGGTTTAGACGTTGATAAATCTAGATTCAATATTGATTCAACGTTGACTTTTCAACGTTGAAAATGTAACGTTGATTCAACATTGAATTCAAATTGAGTTGAATTGCCAACATTGATTCAACGTCGGATCTTCGTTGAGCGGGAATCCTATTTTTCTCTGATAAGTAATTCGGACTATAATAATGTCGGACTATAACATTGTCGGACCATAACGAGGTCGGACTTAACAAAGTCGCACTACCGACTTTAATAACTATTACAACAAACAAGAATGGTAAATATATGTATTTTACAAATTCAGTGATTAATATGAATTCAGTATGAATTTGCCAATGTACGAATTAAGAGCATGCGCAGTAGGACATCCGGAAAATATTCAAAAAGACAGGATAACAGTTACTTGTAAGTTTTGATAATTTTAAGATTTTATATATACAGCTGTTTTAAGATTTTAAAAATATAACTCGATTTGGCATCTATCTTAATTGCTCGTGATTATGGATGTTTTCGAATTCCAACTGACGCCAATTTCAGTTCAATATTTTTTTTTAAAGAATGCATGAAGACCATATTGAAAACTATTCCATTGTATAGTTTCGTTAATTGCTCTTCATAGTTTGAGAGTATTATATATTGTGTATGTTAAGTGTTAGGATATATAGCATAAACGGATCAAAGATTCTGTAAAAAAAAAAAGGGGGGGGGGGGAGGGGTGGCCACTTGAACATGTTGAACAGTGTTGAAAGGGGAAGTCTACCATCTCCACCGAAAGCTTTCGGGCACACCGAGTCCCGTTTACAACCCATTCTCACATCTGTAACATCTTAAGGAACCCTGAATTTTTTATTTTCAGATTCTTATTGATTTGTCTTTGTATAGCTTTACTGGGGGGGGGGGGGGGGAGGGGGGAGGGGGGGATGGGTGCAGTCAGTTTGTTTTCCAGTATATCCCTTTCCCCCTTTTTTTATTTGATGAGTAAATCATTATTTTAAAAGTAATTTCCTCTTTTAATGATTTTTTTTCATGTCTTGGATTTGAGTTTTTCTTGTAAATAATTGTTTCAGGCCCGTAGGAAGCAAATCTAGTTTGGGGGCACAGCCATACATTTTCAGTCGACAGTTGAGGGGGCACTACCAAAAATTTCCTAACAAGCAAAAAAAAAAAGGTCATCAACTACCAAAATTCCTTGACAAGCAAAAAAAAAAAAAAAAAAAAAATGTCATCAGAGATTTTTATTGAGGGGGCACAAGACAAATAGTATCTATGTTTACTATAGTAATCTACATATCGCCCCCCCCCCCCCCCCCCGGTTCCTACGCCCAGGCGTTTAATGAAATATTGAACTGCTGCACAAGTTTGGGTTGAGAAATTCATGTATAAGTCTTTTGCTTTGATGCAACACAAACTTTTAACAATTTTTTTCTTTACTTTCCTGTTACACTTTCAATTTACTTCATTTTATTTTGTGTTTTGTGAACAGTAGGGATGGCTTATAAAGAAATGGAAGAGATAGATTTAATCTCAAGGCCAAACAATGATATAGATGTACCTTGTAAATGAAGGACATTCCAGCACCTCACAGCCTCCAGCAAATTAAGCAGCTGATGGATGTTAACACATGGAAATTAAATGGTACAGTGCATTAACCATTCTCATCACACTTTAAAAATTTGCATTTTAAAGATTTATTGATAAATATCATTTGCAATGCCAAGAAATTAACTAATTTTTGCATATATGTATTTATTTGATAATTCGTTTTTAATAATTATACTTGTCTTTGGATTGATTATTCATAATTTGGAAAAAAGCGCAAGATATTAATTGTTTATTAAGGAAGCTCTAAACACTGCACTCTAAAGAATTCTACTTATAGGGTAGTTTTATGCAGTTAGAGTGGTCTGCCCTTAGAAGTAAGATAGAAAAAAAAAAAACGGTTATTTACAGTTAATTACACAATTTGTAATAGATCAGAATATTCCTAGCATTATATTAGATCGGGAATAAGTAATTGGAATTCATTTTTCCATTAATTTTCCCAATATAAGTAAACAACGGTGATTTCTGCTCACGAGTAGTCCATTGTCTTTGAACATTTTTCCTGCGGAAATAAGGCAGGTACCCTATGATGAACATGAACTAAACAGACTCAATATGCACACCTTTATATGATATATTTTTCTCCAAGTCCAAGAAGCACTTTTTGTTAGTGTATAGAGCTTCCTTAAAGTTTTCGTCAATTTTCACTGAAAGATAATTTTGGAATAAAAAGATTATGAGATTGAACGTGTCACAATTTTAACATATTTCATTATACAAATATTTATTATATTAAATTGTACATTGTAGGGGTAATCAACTAAAACGCTGCACCAATCTGTCCACTCAGAAGACCAACATAATCCAGGAGAGAACACTAATCAGGAGATCAACAGCACCCCAGGAGTCCAACACCATTCACAAAGACCAACACCACCCTCAGGACTCCAACACCAGGACTCTAACACCAAGATTTAATTAATAATATATTTTTTAAAAGAAATATTTATCAGATTTCGGATTTCCGACATTTTGGTATGAGCATCACTGAAGAGACATAATTTGTCGAAATGCGCATCTGGTGCATCAAAATGGCTACCATATAAGATTTACATCTTATCTTGGAATGTTTTCATGTATTGGACTATTTCTTGACCACGGGTGAAAATAGAAAACGTTTGTAAAATGTTTGGGTTTTGTACTGATTACATGTAATTTATAAAATGTATTTTTGTGAAATTCATTGTAACTGATCTATTGATAGGAAGTTAATTAAATGTTTACAATATAGATTTATATATGTTTTCCTTCATATAGTTATGGAGGCATCTTAGTTAATAAAAAATTAAAATTTCAAATAAGTAATCACCACCACCCCCCTCCCGAAAAAAAAAAAAAAAACAACGTTGAATTAACTTTTATTCAATGTCTAATCAACATTGATTTTCAACATTGAATCAACGTTAAGATTTCAACGTTGAACACAATTTTCAAAATCTTACATAAACTAAACGTTGAATCAACATATATAATCAACGTTGATTCAAAGTTTTTTTTCAATGTTGTGTGCCTGCTGGGTAAGATCTCATCCGAAAGACCTTGACTTTCACTTCTAATGCCAGGTGCTTGGCGAAGGAACCTATGTTTACGTCTTACGTTTGATGCAGCGCGGCGAGCGAGAATCGAACCCCGACCTCCCGATAACGAACCGAACCGTCCTACCACTCCTACCGTGACTGGAAGAATATAAAAGAAAATATCTAACAAAGGAAGAGGAACATTATAAATCCTAGTTTATTGATATAAACATTCTCATAAATTATAAATTCATTTCCAAAGTCAAGGTTTAAAGTTTTCCCATATCTGTATTTAAATCTTCTCTAGAACAAATCATATAAATTTGCCCTCATCATAGAAAGATAGAGCTCATCTTAAGCTTGAGTTCGATTTTACTGAAACCATCTATTAGGGTCATTTGATGTAATCCAGTCGTGAATTTTAAAAGAACTCATGCAATATTTCGTTTTGTAACCAAAAAAAATCTTTTTACATATATATCAGTCCGAATTTGTATTCGAAAAAGATAAATCATTCAAAATTCTTTCTTTTTTGATTTTTTTTCTTTCTTTGCTTTTCGAATTCATGATTTGTCCGATACCCTCTATATTCAAATGACCCATTCTATCAACGGCGAGGCGCATATAAGGTAAACGCTCAAAATTATGATTTACAATATTTTATCTTAAAGAAAAATTGCAAATAATCACTTTTAGAAATGCGAAATTCTAGTATTATGCACCCGTTTAAAAAAATCGTAAAAAGAGGAAGAAGACTAAAGATGGCATAAACAGATGAGATTTATCTTAAAAATTGTCGCAAGAAACCCAGTTTTTCAGTATTAATCTTCATTCCTATCTCTTTCAGGATGGTGGTACGAAGGAAGCGTTTTGACGATGTTTGAACATAATCAAAACCCTTTATTTAAAGGAAAAAATGTGCTTTACAGGCATCGATCTATTTTAAATTGGGTTTGTGTTTATGCAAGTTTTTCTTCATTTCTACGAGGAGGTCTTCAAATTACTTAAAGCATTGAAAAGGGTACCAGACATTTCCTAATGTCATCTCAGTGTCAATGCTTACGTGTACTAGATATACATGTCGCTTATTCCACACATAGCATGCTTGGTGGCAGGTAATGATGGGCAATCAGAAGTTAGAAGGTTATTCCCTATTCCCTATTGACTTTTCGAATGGCGGACCGGATGCTGCTACCGGTTCCCTATTCAAATTACCGTAAGTGTCCTGATAATTTTTTTTTCAAAAAACTTGAATAACTCATTCTAATACATGTTAAAGAAGCAAATCAAAGACATCATTTAAAAAGGAAGAATGAGGACCCCAAACCAATGTAGCTAGCCTGACCAAAATGATGACAATGGATAGAAAAGGTAAACCTTGAACCA